AAGTTTCCACTTTTTCTAAGGGAAAGGGTTAATGATATTTTTGTGCAGCCTTTGTCAATAGAACTTTATATACATATTTAAAAACAAATTATTGCGTGCAGTAATTTTAAGTTGAAAAATATGTACGTTTGTAGTGTTTTTCTTATTTTGAAACGGAATGGGGAATTTTATTACATTTTTGGACCAATCAAGTACTTTTTAGGTACGGTTTTTGATCTATAAAATTGCTATATGAAGAAGTCTATTCAGCGGTTAAAAAGAAATCGTAGATCCGGTCACAAAAATAAAAACACATCATTGTATTAACAATACCTTCTCAGCTCTTCATCGAAGATTAAAATACAAATTATAATACGTTTGTTGTATGTTTTACATATTACAGCACAACTGGATTAAAATGTATTAATTCAAAAATGATGTTGTTTTAGTAATTATTTATTCGGATACGCAAACAAGAGTACTCCCGATAGATGGCTATTAGGTACAACTCATTCAACTTCAAACGTATTATTTCTAAGAACACAAAACTATTCAAAAGTAGTCAGTAGTACTCAAAATATTTCAATACTTTTTAACATTTCAAGGCATCGATCGTGACATAATTAAAACTTTTTCTATTAAATTAATTATTTCTGTTTCAAAATTGCAGTTTTTTTTACATTGTGATAATTAATTATCTAAAGTAATTTTAAAATTGTGTCACGATCTATGCCTTGTTATGAAAAATGTTAATGCTTTTCAAAACTTAAATCAGAGTGTTCTAAGGAACAGTACGTTTAAAGTAGAAACATGTTTTTGTACGAAAATAGATTCTACATAGTTATAAGAATTAAAAAAAAAAAATACCAAAATGCATCATTTTTTTTTGTGGTTATATAATATATGTTTAAACATTTAAAACGTCTTTAGAAATGCTAGTGTAGAGGCTCCATAATATAAAAATATAATTTTAGTTATATAAAACACTATAAAATATCTTTTGAATTTATGTGTTTTTAATAAAAAAAACTGTATTCTCAAGTATAATATTATTAAATAATAAAGTGTTAAGTGTAACGCCATAGTAATTATTAAGCTATATTTAAATACTGTCGGCGTTGAGGATATGCAATATCGCTACACTCGTGTGTAGGTGTTATCATTGATTATAAACAATTTATAAGCAATGTTGTTATATATTATGTCGTATAAAATGTATTATTGATACAAAATATACTATCACAGCACAATATTACAAGGAATTTTAACTTGTAATTTAACCAATAAGTCATCGGTGTAGTTCCTTGGAAAATAAATAATTATACATATTATATTGATTGTTATAAAATGTGTACAAAGTTATTTTAACAGACATATTATAGTCTTAACCATGTTGAATTGTTATGATTTAATTATAACCACGTTCGTATTTTATACTTTTTTCCGACCGACTAAATTATAATTTATTTCATTTTCATAATTTGTTAATTTTTCCTGGTAATGTTTATCGCATCATTTATAACTTTTTTTTTTACCGAAAGAATTTTGTACTTTTAGTTAATTTTTTTTATTATAGCGTTTATGCTGAATTCAAATACAAATAATTCTATTTTTTATAACCTGAACGGTGTTTGTTTTTGTAATTAATTTCCAAACGTTCAGACAATATGTTAAACTATTTAAAAACGTCCATTGATTGAAAAATAAATGTACAGTGTAAAGTTAATTATTTTGAAATAGCTATTGTTATCGCACCTCAATTTCGTAGGAACCATTTTACTTTATATTCATTAATTGGAACAATAAATTAAATTACCCAACGACTTTAAAGTAATAGTTGAGAAGTGTGCGTGGCAGTTTTTAAATATTAGGTATAATGTACGACTTCGGAATACAGACTTATACATTTTTCTTTATTTTTGTGAAAAATGTATTTATATTTTTATACATAATTCATTTTTATTGCATTTTATTGTAATTATGATTTCTTTTTAGAACACTTATAATAATTGGTGTATAGGTCTTGTGGTCACGCATAAACAGTTTTCATTTGTTTTCATACATTTTTGAAACGTTTTATTTTTAACGATTTATTTTTAATGTATCAAAAAGACAATTAAACATATTCTTACATAATTATTAAACTACTCAAAATTATAAATGAATCAAAGATTGTTTGTCTAATAAATATAAACAATACTTAAATTTGTTTGTGTAGGAAAATGTTAATTTTCTTCACTATCATTAAGACTTAAGATTTTATCTATTAATAAATTTGAATAATCAATTTAATATAATAACATCATAGAAATAAATAAATAAATCACGTTAACTGCTACTGAGTAAAATGTTTTTGAACAAAATTAACTAATAGTTTACACTTAGCAAACTTTAGTCTACTTTAGAGCAATATTACTTTAGTTTTTTCAAACCCTATGATATGTCTTTCATTTTAGTACCCGGTATATAAATCTTATGTGAACTTAGCAGTCATTACATTTTTATAGTGTGAATAGGCTCAAATGTCACACAATTTCCACCGAAGTCGTTTATTTTCGTTATGCTCATTATGATCAGTAATGTGTTTGAAACACTATATCAATCTTTGGGAGTAATGTAAGTAAGTACAATGTGCGTTAACAATAAATAGCTACGCACACACTTCAAATCTTAGAAAAAGTTTTAAGTTACTGTGAAAAAAACACCATAATATATAGATGTAAACTTTTATAAGAATATTTATTATATTAAAATTGTTTAAGTCTTTTTATCGAAATATATATTGTTTGTCGATTGATTTCGATTGATGACAAATTACATTTATTTTACACATAAACACATATTATCTCTACATAATTTAAAATTATAACATATGTATCCACTTGACAGTTTGTGCACATAATATCATTAGCTCAAGATTAGTATACTCCCTACAAATATATCCACACTGACTTATAATATCAGATGCATTTTTCACCACGGGTTCTTAGCCCTAAAGAGATATTACATCCCCAAAGTCAACTTTCTTCAAATATCATTCTCCAGCTTCCTGCTACAACTCATAGTTATTTTTGCCAGACTAAAATACTTAATTATCTTCCCACTCACCTTAATATTTTCACCAATGCATGACGTCATATGGGCTATTAAAAATAGACAGTCTTTAGAAATAGTACCGACAGTAACCTTTTTAACTCTACATTAAACTTAAAAACCTTATGTGTCAGTAATATAGTAGATTTTTGGTAATTTCAACACTAAACCAATAATAGAATATTTGGGAACCATTGATTTAAATTTATAGGTTTATTGACCTTATAAGTACTCTAAACGAATTATCAAGTAGGACTCGACGTTTTTGTTTCTATACTGGTGGTACAAACATTTACCGATATCATCACTGCTTCCACCTTTGCCATGAACTTCCGTCTAGACATAACAGCGAGTTTTATATGGGCATGCTCTTCATGTAGTGTCAAATAATTTTATTTAACTTTTTTTTTTATAAAACTTGAATAAATTATATTTATTAAATAACTTAGTTACATAATCCAGCCGGCGCTGTATGGTAAACAAAAACTTAAGTAAAATAAAAAAAAAAATATATATATATATATAGGTATAGGTATATATTATATTTTACACCAGTAGTTCCCATACATTTTATTATTGATTTTTGTTTAAATTTAAATGACCGAAAAGATTTAGGTCTATTTCGGCTGAATAGACCCTATCCTTATCAATATTTGACTTACCAGTAAGAACTTATAAGGATGGTTAAAATAAACTAAACAGATGAGTAATTTCAATTTTTCATTATGTCGATAATAATGATAGTTAATAATAATAATAATAATTATAATTTTAATAATAATAATAATAATAAATCATTTTAGACCTATTTAAACAATAATAAACTCTATAGCGAGAATAATAAACTTGTAGTAATTATAATAATTATAGCTGTATAATAATATGTAACTATTATTTTAATAATAACTATAGTAATATTTAGATAATAAATGTTTGTCAGTATAACAATAATAATTATTTAAAATAACATGTCTAGAGTAAAATGCGATTTTTTTCTATTATTACTTATGTGTATGGATGTAAAACACGTAATAATAATATGTTCACTTATGTATAAATACAATTTTTAAAAACATATCCTATATTTATTTAACATTCATTATTTTTAAAATAGGAATAAATGGAAGACAATAATATAATAATAATAATAATAATATACTAAAAATACGAACTATACAATTTTTGTTTTTTACAATTTCAGTGTGAGATTGAGTTGTTAAAAAAAAAATATAACGTGAACTTTAATTTCTAATAGGCGTGTACATCGTGATTTCAGAAATTTAGAATATTTATGTAATTATCTATAATTTAAAAAAAAACGTTTTAATGCGAAATCACGTGTACCAAAATAATATGTACAATACAATTATTAATGATTTTGTTTTGTCATCCAAAGGCGTTTGGGTAAAAGTATAATATTAAAGAACTATGTACATTGAATTGCTTAGATATTTATTTTATTTTAGGCACTAAAGCTATAATATGGGAAAGCATATTAATATATAGTTTTGAATTTGCCAAATGTTAATTTTTTTTGACGCTTAAAAGATGTAAATTTGAAAGAAAAATACAATGTTTAAAATATAATTCGTACAAAATGCTAGCCATAAAATAGAATAAAAACATTTATGTGAGGTGTTTATTTATTAATTATCAATAGTATTTTATTCACTTTTTTGTTTCCTTAACATTTAACATATTATTTATTATTAAATATATAACTTATACAATTGGACTTAGAGTTAATTGAGTAAAATTAAAAAATACAATTTTGATTATAACATAGTAATTTTATAATATTTTGTACGCTTTTAATTTTTTTTTTTGTTATATCTATTATTTATTTGATATTTTTTAAAATTATTATTTTTTATATAATATTATTTATTATATTTTGTTTTATATTAAATATGTAATTATGTAAAAAAAAAAACAATTGTTTGAGGCTCAAGCGTTAACGTCCTCTTTTTTTTTTTTTTGGACCCATATTATATTATAAAATACTACAAGCGAATGAAAGAGTTTATACCTACTATTCAAAATAAGAAGGAATATTTTGTGCATAGATGAGTTGTTTATTGGGCGGGGCAGGTCACGTTTGCCATTAATGACTAGAGCCGATTGGTCTAATCAGTTGAAGGGAGAGGGAAATTGGTTAAGTGAGGCGTGGTCTGATCGTCACCGACCAAAACCGATTGGTCAAGTTTGTTTTACTTCTTTCTGTGAACAGTGTACAGAATACACTGGGGGAAGAAAAGGTCTAAGCAAAATTTGTTGTTCAAATAGCAAAAAAGTTGGCGTCGCCAATGTGTATGTCTATGTTCCGTCGTAGGTGTATTCCTTTCTTACATTTGGAACTTTGGTCTGATCGTACATAAAAGGATTAAACGGAAATATACTTAATAGTCTGGGTGACGACAGTTGCGTTTTGTTTTTGTATAGAACCAAGAAAGGGCGACCACCGTTTAGCCGGAAGTAAATATTTTCTTGGGAAAAATTTTATAGAAAAACTAAACGACAATTTTATATACGCTCAAGGATTTACACAAGGTCGTTTGGGCGATCTTCAAGCGTGCAAAACTAGGTATGTACGGTATTCGGCCGCACCTAGTCCCTAGACGGTCATTGTTTAATGTTCGCAAAACAAATAAAATCGTATTCTTCATAATATTATTATAAATTAAATCCCGTCTTATTGCTTGTGCTGTGTCTGGCGTGACAAAAAAATTGCCTAAAGAACGAACAACCGTTGTTATTATTATAATTTGTCTTATAAAAGTTATTTATAATATAACACTAATAATAACCAAACAAGAGAATAATAACAAACGACAAAATAAGCGTTGTAGTAAGAATGGTAAAACAAATATATTATTTTTGATTATAAATAAACCGATTTAGACTTCTTAAGTCGAGACAAACGCGCGCCAAAGTTTGCGAAGAACAAACAAACACATAACAAAAAAAATATATGTATATATATATATTTATATATTTTAGTAATAAACCAAAAACAAAAAAAAAACTCTTACTTTAACGTTGTTTTGCTTTTGTTTATTTAATTGTTTTATTATTATTTGCAGTAAATCCCTTTTAGGACGGAACAAGAACTGCTGCGCTGCACTCTTCTGTTGGCGAATGATTGTCAGTTTAACAAGATTTAAAAAAAAAAAAAACCAACTGTAAGTGTATGGTGAGTGTGTATGTACATATGTATTGTTCACAAAGCGCCAATATGTATTGTGTACATAAACGGACGGCTGGAGCTTATTGTTGATGTTTCGAACGTGCGTTTAAGTAAATAAACGCATCGTCGAAAAACCAACAATCGACGGATGTTATAATATTATTGCCCTTGTTGTTGTAAACACCGTTGTGAATGGGATACGTGATCGGCAAACCGGAATACCGTGTTGAGTACATTATCATTCCGAATAGTCGCTTTGTATATCTATGTATATTATTAAATCAATTTCAGCGCCCCCCCCCCTCCATTCACTCCAGTTTTAGCAGCACGCAGAGTAAACATGAACTGACGTGCCCGGTGTTCTTTGCCGTTTTAGATATTAAAATAATATTATTATTATTACTATTACTTTTAGCAACTCGGTGAAAAAACAAAACATTTAAACCGATTCGGTTTGTATTTGTTTTGAAAAAAAAAATTCTCGACGGATGGGAAATCGCTAAAAACTTGTTACGTTCCGGTGGAAAATTGATTTTGGAAATGTTTTTTTTTTATAGAGACTATTTTACAACCTGTTACCAGACAAGGGGCCGAAAAGGCGAAGAAATAAAAGTCAAGAAGAAGAAAAAGAGGACCTGCTTTGGAAAGACATGACCGGGCCCCAAATCAGGCAACAGTTGCCATGGTGGTGAAGACGGGCGGTGTTAACATCTACACCGAGATGACCAAGAAACTGAAGACCGGTGATGATGTTCAGGCCTTTGGATTCCATATCAACTCCATGAAAAAATGTCGTCCAAGGCCGACATTGTCTTAAGACTGGCTAAGGCTCTAACGTGTCTTAAATCGTGAGTCCACCTTGTCCAAAGAAAACGGGATTTAAAGTGATGTAATTGTTGTTGTTGATTATCAATGAATTGAATTATTATTTTAATTAAGTAGCCTAATTGACAAGGCAGGGCATTTATGCGTCCAAGGCTTTAAGTTGATTTTAAATTACTTTATTTTAACAGTCGCATAATTACAATTTATTAGTTTCGCAATAATTATGTAATTAATATACCTATTAAAACAAACAACTTATCAGAAAATATCAAAGAAGAAACCGAAATGAGAATTATCAGGTTTATCGAAATCAATTATAAAACAATGTAAAACTGTAGTCGATTCGGTAAACTGTTTTATATTAACCGAGTTTAATATATTTTTATCATTTAACTTACAGATAATTTCGTTTAACTTAACGAGGTGAATATAAATCAATAATTCATCCAGCTTTGCAAATCGAGTCGACGGCTGAACCTTCAGAATATTATAATTGTTTTTTTAGAATACTCCCAACATAAAACAATGAGTACAAAAACAAATACTAAATCATGATTTAAGTATCAATCAGCAATAATTTTTTTCGGCCAGCTCAAGGATGTTTACACGTCCCCCTCCCGGTAATTTTGATCATATTAATAACTAAAATTTTCTAATAAAAAATCTCATTAATGTTTTAAGATGGAAGCACAAGTTCTCCGTATTATTAAAATGGCTAAAATTTTTTTTTAAATAGGACAAACTTTTGTAATAAAAAGTCGTTTATGTTTCTTTCGACTTGTGACCGGGTTTTCTGAGCTATAAAAGATTTAAAAAAAAGATGTATATATTTCTTTGAAAATTTTTATAGGAAAAACCAAGTCTCAACAGGCAGACATGGCACTTTTTTAGATTTATACAATGTACATAATACGAATATTGTTGCCGCAAACGACAAGTTATTTATTATCGTTTTATTTATTCAGTTATACATTTTATTAGACTATAGCGATTAATAAAAAATAATAATTATTTATGTAACTCAAATCAGTTCTCTATATAGGTACCGACATCTTAGGATCTAAGTTCTAATCCGTTAATGGACCCATCCCATACGTATTTGTCGAATTTATTATTATATTTATTATAAATATATAAAATAAAAAGCCCGATTAATTGTTTTATTAATCATGCGATCGTGGCCTATCAACCGGCACCATGGTTACCGTGGATAAACGTTAAGTTTCGCATGCATAACTGTATCGATAATACGCTCGGAGCGACAGTGGTTAATGGAAACACTGGGCTTCGTCAAAAGTAAAGTGTATTAATAAATAAACCACCAAAGTCCAAACCTGGTTTGGTGGGATCGGCGGAAAGTAGTAGATACTTTGTTATTTCCCCCCCCCCCTAGCTTATACCTTCACCGTTTTGACAAACGCATAAACGCACTTTATTAACCAACGTAGATGGCGCGTAGAAATGAGAGCTAATAAAAAATAAGCTGACAAGCCAGTTCAAAATTAAATCAACCTTTCCATTTGTCGTTGTGTTAATGTACTTCCGAGAAGAATACTAGTCATCTATGCGGTAACGGCGATTAGACGTTATAACTTTGGTAGTTAAAATTCATAATAAATTATAATAGTTAATAATTTCTTATCCATGACCGGTTTTGCTTTTGTTTAACCAACCATTGTGGTAACTAGTATTTTCTTCACGCTCACACTATTTCGTTTGATATTAGGAGGTATTAGCCACATTGTCCGGTTTATTATTATTTGTTTTGTTGTCTATTCAAAGAGCACAAAGTTATCATCGAGTATGGTGTATGATATTAGGAAATTGTCTACATGGTGGTTTATTTGCTGGGGTCGTGTTGTATTCAGAGGCTTAAGGTTTTACCGGTGTGTGTTTCAGTTGACTATTTGAATGAAATGGCACTATGATAAATAGGATGGGTAGATTTAATTGAGAGGAATGAGTCGATTGGGAAGGAGTAAGGAGTGGTAGAAATGGAAGTAGTTATTCGAAAATTATTAGGAATAATATTAATTATTATGTTATTTAAACAACACACGGCGGAAACTTCGTCGAAAGTCCTTGTTGAATATCGTGTAGATGACGGGGTTGATAGCCGAATTCATGTAGCCCAGCCAAAAGGCCACTGTAAGAGCCTGCGGGGGTATGTAGCAAATGGAACACAGAGGCGTGAGCACGTACATGAAGAAGAAGGGCAGCCAGCAGGCAATAAACGAACCCATGATTAGGCCCAGTATGAGCGTTGCCCTTTTTTCCTTTTTGCGCGCGATTCGCCTTTTCTCGCGTTCCGGATCTCGCGGCTTGGGCCTGGTCAGCGACGCCGTGGCCGGTGACGGGGCAATCTCCCTGGTGCTCAGCGATACCTTGCCCGTGTCCAGGATGTCACGCTTGGCCTTGGCCGACGCCGCCGCCTTAGCCGACTTGCCACGACTGCCGAATATTGGCTTGCACAGCCTGGCTTTGACCGGCTTGACCACGCCGCATTTTTGCACGTTGCCCGAGTCTGACGATGACGGGTCCAGTTCACTGACCATGTCGGTGTCCACGCCAACACTGGGCGCCCGGCATCTGCTTGCACCGCCGGCGGTCACGTCGCCGTTGACCGTCAGCCGGCGGCTGCCTTGAGTGGTGAACACTTTGAGCGTATCTTTGTCTCCGTCTTTGCTCACGTCGCTGGTGCTCGCGTCGCTGGCGTAGTCGCAAGCGATCACCGGCAACGTGTTGGTGACGGGGGTGGCGGGCGGTGACCGCGATGACAACCCGCCCACCATAGCCGCGGCCGGCCTGGTAATGAAGCTAGTGGTCTGCGACACTGTGGATGGACTTTGGGTGCCGCCCTTGGCCGTCGTCCGGTTTTGGTTTTTCGGCTTGGACGGCGGTTTCCGGATACCCCGGCGTGCCCGCGCTTTGGCCGCAAAGTATATCCGGATGTACACAAATACCATGATGCACGACGGTATGTAGAAGGAACCAAGAGCCGAGTAAATCCGGTAACCGAGATCTTTGTTCAACTGAAACAAACCAAAACAATATTTGCGTTAGTGACATCATATATGACATGATGTAAATTGTACATGGTTATTATTATCATTAGTAAACACACATGTTGTCATATAAATTTACATGATTTTCCCCTATTACGAACAAGGCCCTAACTTGAAAATTGGCATTACTTTATTTTAATTGGCTCCAGTTTTCAGACACTTTCTGTATACAATTTAACAATGAGCTACCATGTTATAGTCATTTTACGGTTGGTATGACTTTTCGGCAATCAAACTCAGATTTTTTTTTTTTAGAAAATTCCATTTCTAATTACTAGGCGAGTTCTAATAGGTGTAGTCACCGACCGCTCGTTTGTCTGGGCCAGACTCTAATGTTCTAATGAACGACTTTATTTAACGGTCAAATTCATGTTGTTGGAGTCTATTATTAAAATTAAATTTCCATGTCCAAAATTAACAGCTCTATTATACATTTCTAGCAACTATAATTAATTGAAATACTGAGAGCCAAAAGGATTCAAGTGATCTTTGCGTTATAGATTATATTAAAATTAGGCTTTGATAATAAACCAATCGTCAGCTACTAATTAAGAACCAGTGCAAAAATATTCTATAAATTCAAATTCAGTCCAAATAATTTAATATAGTATAGTATTATATAGTTATAAATTAAAAATATACCGGTAATGAAATGACCAATATAACACACACCAGACAAATAAAAAAATCCATCCGATGATTAATAAGTAATAATATTTAACTGGGATGCGTCAAGTTAAACGCGTTAAATCAGCTACCTGAAATAATATTCTCCAAGTGACCATTACTGATTGACAAGACCAGGAAAGTTATAATCGCCAGCTAAAATCAAAACCGTTTAATGTAATACCATGCGTCAATATTGTCCGTCCGTTATAGAATCCGGTTGACCTTTTTAACATTAACTTTTCAAATCGGCGCGGTAAACAAAAACTTGTAATGACTTCATCAAAAACCAATTTTACTACTTTGACAATTGACTTGTCAGCGTCATGTCAATTGTCAACTAATATTTGTAGAAAACATTTCAGAGAAATATGTTTATGTAATAATTTCACACAAAAGTAAGTTGACAATTTAATCATACAAAGCGATTTGTGATAACTATATTTGTTTTATACACTAAAACGTTAATAAATTAAATAATTATAAAACCTACCGATATATAATAAAATATCCAAAATAATGCCAATAACCCTTTCCTTGAAAATAGGTAGAAACTTTTCTTTAATTTCATTTGTTTAAGTGCAGTTTTAGGACTTAAAATGAAAATATTAAACTGAAGATAAATGTACTCTTGTGGTAATACATTTCCAGGTGGCCATATGTGATCTAATAAATAGTCAACCGGTATTTAGAGTTCAGACAGCAGTTATTTTCATTATATTATTGTTCATTGCAGTCCAGGCGTACAACTCAATCCGAGTCAATGGTGTATGTATCTTAAAATTGAAAGCCATAAGACCCAAAGATTGTCTATAACATCGTGCCCAAAGGGGAAATAAAACAGAGCGCTGTTAATATGTTTTTATCTCTTTTAGCGCCAAGCCGGGACTATAAAATGTAAACATAATGTCGTTTTTTTAAATGTTATTTGCGATTATCAAGTCTTCGTCATCCGGGGATGTATATATATATATATATATATATATATATATAATTTTTTTTATCTCATTGACTTTGTATTAAACGCCGGATAAATAGGCTTTGATAATAAAGTGCATTGTTTATCAAATACCTTGGCGGCTGTTGCAAAGGAATGAAAAAAAAGCGCGATTAAAAGGTTCAAAGAGAGCTTTTCAATCAAAACAGAATAATGCTTACCCGATCCGGTCGGGGGTCGTTCCCGAAGCATATCATAATGTGACGATGGCTATTTGTGTTTTATTTTTGCCCCGTTTAGACCCGTTAAAAAAACTGACGGTATTTTGCCAATACACGGTTGGCCAAAAACAATATATGTATATATATAATATAAAATAATATATATATGTATATATATATTGTTTTTTTGTATGTACCTATATACAGAAGCGCTATCGAACCGTTTGGCTTTTGGGAGAAATCTGGATCTTCTTCCGAGTCGGTCCAAAACTTGTAAAATCGACGGCCGCGCGTTAAGCCGGCAAACGGCTAATACAATAATAACGATAACGAACGACAATATATATATTACTGTACTAAAGTGCAAACAAAAGGGAAAACGGAAACAAAAAACAAAATTACTTGTACAGGCGTTAACTCTTACGGACAGCTGCTGCTGCTGCTTGCTGCTGTTGCAAGGTGGTGACATTTCTACACAGTGGTCGTTGGGCGGACACGGAAAGAAAAATTTTACTTCAACGCCGGAATAATAATTGAATTTGCCATCCTTTTGCCGCCTTAGTGTGTATTTGAATGCGGAAACTAGGTCGAGATGAAATCCAATAACGTCCGACCAGCCTCTGTTATCTAATGAACGACTTGTTTTTATTTCAAACCGACGGCTACGGTCGGTCGAGTTTGTTGTTTAACCGAAATATAATAATAACCACAATAACCATAATGATATTAAGTCGATTGTTTGGACATTTTATTCAATAAAACAATTTTACAACACTTTTGTTGGAATGTTTCTTAAATATTTCAAAATTACAACAAAAAAAAGTGTTATACAAAAAGCGCAAACTTTTTCCGGTTTAATTTTAATTTAAGCATACAATTACACGTGTAAACATTTAAGTCAATATAAAAAAAAACATTCATTTTAGCCACTTTTTAGCTTATTGAACTCGCTATATCAATACTTTTGTGAGACCAGACGAATTACAAACATCATTACAGCAGATTTTTTTGGAAATATTATTTTATCAACCCTAAAATGAAGCCCGCCGATTATTTGACATTCATTTATGCACTGTCGTTATGAATAACAACTTGTATTATTAAGGGACGTTCAAATTTTATGTTCCAGTAGAAATTTCGTAAAATAATCAAAATAGGCAAAAATAACCATACATACATATTAATTTTTTATATTTCATGATCTACTAGTATTATTTAAGGCTTTATAAATTTTTAAAACTTAATTGGTAGCGCATGCACATTATTATCTTTTTAAATTAATAATAATTTGCTGAAAATTTTGTTTTGTCGATAGCCATATTTTGATTATTACTTTTAAAGTTAAAATTCAGAGCGGGGAAGGGTAGAAAGTAGTTTTATTTTTATCTGCACGCATCACTGCACTGACGCCGCACTCTATTTTGATATACGAACACCATTGTAAGAAAAATAACAAATATTTATTTACAAACACCGAAGCCGCAAGATTGATCAGTTTTCGGTTCATAAAACAATTGATGTATTATATTTCCTCGTTTGTAACGTAGCATCAAGTGAAACAATAATAAGATTGCTTTTAAATAAATTAAAAAAAACAAGTTTACATACACTTGTTATAAAAAAAAAAGTGCACTTCATATTCACCACACTTACCGGCATAAATTACTCAGATTTGCCTTATGTAAGAAACTATAGAATTTTTTAAAATTTTAACGGTCATTGGTTCTGTAGAACTTTAAAAATACAACACCGGAAAAGTTCCTCTGAAAATATCAAAATGAACAACAGGGTTCGGCGTGGTTTTGTTTTAAGAATAATTATTTTAATCATTTCGTTTTCAAGGCGATGAGAATAAACTAGGTAATGAGTCTTTAAGGTTTTGAGGATGTTCGATTTATCTACTTTTTCTACCAATATAGTACTATAATTATTAGGTAATATGTATATTAGTTGCAGGGGCAAGTGGATAAAAGTGTTAACTGACAATTTCAAAACTACGTGCAACGTATTAGTCAATTCAGCTGTTAAAATATTTTACTAAATTGTGACACTTTCATTTATTCAATAAAAATAATTTTACAAAAAATCTCACTTAACACCATTATCCACTCACCCCTTCAATTATAGTGGTTCAAGTAATAATATTATAATTAAGATTAGAAATATTGTTTAGGAAATTACACACTTTTGGCTAATGCGCTTTCAATATAGCCAGCGACATAAAACAATAATTATATAAGCTGATATTATTAAATCACAAAATGACAGTCACCGATTTTATTTTTTATGGGTATGGCAGTATAATGTTTATCACAAGTGGAATTTGATTACATTTTTTATACACGATTAATAATACATTTCTCGCATTCATCAAATCCTTATTACTAGAAAACATGCACATTTTTTTTATTATTAAAAATCGATATCCCGTGAGAGTACCCATAATAGGTTAATGTTTTATGACAGCAATTATTGCTTGCTCTTGCAGCGTATGACATACCTTTGTGTACTCAATCATAATATTTTAGCAAGGTACACATTTTTAATTTTCGTAGGCGAATTGGTTTTTTGTTTTTTGGTTTATGTAACAAGATAAAATATTAATAATATTGGATAGTCATAATGGAAAAAGTTAGTAGCCGTATAAGCGGTGCTTATAGGTAAAAAATAATATTATAATATTGTACATAACTAACCAATCTTGGAAGCCTTGCATCGTCGATGTAGCTCTATTGATTTTAAACAGAATATTTGCAATAAATTAATTGGCTTGGCTGATATTTATAGACTTATGAATGCGTATCACCAAAGTCTGAAAAATCTGTAACGCTCATAGTTAATATCAAATGATTTTCCAATCATCAACTCAATTATGACGCAAAGCCTATGTATATTCAACGGTGTTAGTAATTATTCTAGCACAGTACTCAATAAACATCCTGTTGCGCAATGCATTACAATCATATTAATTACTCCCTTTGAAGTTTGCCCATCGACAAGTAAGCCGGTAATTTGTATAATAGTCCACAAGCTTATTTAAATAGCAGAAATGGATTCGAAATGAACTGAACGTGTAAATAGTATTCAACCTATTTGTATAATTAAACTTTTAGCTCTATAATATAATGTTATATAATATAATA